TGATAGTGAGTATCCTCTGAGACTAAAAGGGAGTACATCATAAGTTTCTCTGTTAAGTAAAATGTTTCATGTGGGTTTTTGGTAGATAGAGCTTATCAAGTTAAGGAAGATCCTTCCTATTCCTTGTTTTCTGAGAATTATAATCACAAGTAGGGATCTAGCTTTATTGAATACTTTGTAAAATTATTAAGATAAATATGATTTCCTCCTCTCGACCCCATAAATATTTTAAATTAAAATGATACTGTTTCTGATGTTAAGTCACCCTTAACATTCTTAGGATAAACTTTACTTGGTTACGGTATATTTTGTTTAGTTCATTTTTTAAAGTGAACTCTTATGTGCATTTTCATTTGCATTAGCATGTAATTGGCCTTAATATTCTTTTTTACCGTGTTTCCAATTCCTTAAAGTTCTATTATGTCTGCAGTAATTTCTTCTTTTTCATTCAGTATTTTATTTACATCTCCTCCTTTTTTGTCGGTTTGCCAGAAGTTTGTCTATCTTGTTTAGTCTTTTTAAACAGCCAGTTTTTGATTCAATGTGTCTGAAGTATCTCCTAGCAATCCCATCTCTAGGAAGCAGTGAAATGAAGACCCTGGAGCCACCCAGGACTGAGTTCCTTGCTCTGCCACATGGCAGCTTTATAACCTTGGACATAGGACTATGGCTCCTATGTGTATTTACTTCCTCATTTGTAAAGTGGGAATAACCCTTTCGCAAAATAGTTGTGAGGATCAGATTAGAAAATTTACCTAAAGCACAGGAAACAGCCTAGGGTGCACTGAAAGTATTTAGTACATGTTAATTCCCATCCTCAGTGCCTGTATTAGTCAGGGTTCTCCAGAGAAACAGAACCAACTGGATGGGCATGTTTGTGTGTGTGTAAGAGATCCACCGAGAGACAGAGATTGATTGATTTTAAGGAATTGGCTCATGGGATAATGGAGATGCGAGGCCAAAGCCTGCAGGATGGGCTCTCAGGCTGGAGACGCTGGGAAGAGCTGCAGTTCGAGTCCCGAGGCGGTGTGCTGGTAGAATTCCTTCCTGCCTGGGGCGGGTCAGTCTTTCTTCTAAGGCCTTCAGTGGATTGGACGAGACGTACCCACATTACGGAGGGTAATCTGCTTTACTCGAAGTCCAGTGATTTAAATGTTAATCTCATCCCAAAAAAAAACACCCTCATAGAAACATCCAGAATAATGTTTGCCCAGCCAAGCAAACACATACAATTAACCAGCACGGTACCTTTGTTTGTGCTGTGCCCTTTCCCTGAAATGCTCCCCTTGCAGGCCCCTGCTAGGCCACATGACACCTGTACATAGATTAGAAAAAGGCGACCCTTCCCAGGGCAGACGCAGCTCCCAGTCCCCTCCTCAGCCAGTGCCCGTGTGCAGGACACACTCGTGCAAGGCAGCCCAGACAACCTCCCTGCTGGATCTTCCTCCTGCTCCTTTCTCTCGGTGCCAAAGGCTTCCCATCCTTCACAGTTCAGCTTCCTTGGTAAAGTGTTTCTTATTCTCCCCTGGCTAGAAGTAATCTCTCCCCTCACCCACCCACCCCAACCCCACATCACGTGTCACACTCTTAAAGGCATTTATCTCATTTATCTCATGTCTTACTTATTTTGTGCAAAGGTCTTGTCATTCCACTTGGATTAACCCCTTGAAACAGCGCTGTAGCTTATTAGTCTTTAGGTCCTCTCTCTGCCTGTGGGGCTCAGAAAGAATTCATTCTCCCTTCATGAGTGATTATCACAGTATCAACCTCAAAGGAAGATGCTGAGGCAAAATTAGCATAGAGAGTTTATTTGGGCCGAGATTTAGGATGGCATCCCGGGACACACTTCCAGGTTTCCTTGGGGAGGCTCAAGTTTTTAAAGAAAAAAGGATGAAATCAGGATTTGGCAGGCGTCGGGGGTGGTTGGAGGGGAAAACCAAAGTCATTGGTCAGGAAGTCTCATTGGTTTACAGAAACAGCGTTGTCAGTGATTGGCTATACATTGTTTCTTTCTCTTTCTTTTTGAGATAGAGTCTCACTCTGTTGCCTAGGCTGGACTGGAATGCAGTGGTGCCATCATGGCTCACTGCAGTCTCAATCTCATGGGCTCAAGCAATCCTCCTGCCTCAGCCTCCCAAGTAGCTGGAACTATAGGCATGCGCCACCATGCCTAGCTAATTTTTGTATTGTAGAGTCAGGGTTTTGCTATGTTGCTGAGGCGGATCTGAAACTCCTGAGCTCAAGCAGTCCTCCTGCCTCAGCCTCCCAAAGTGCTGGGATTATAGGTGTAAGCCACTGTGCCCAGCCTACCTTGTTAACTGTATAGAGTGTGTAGCATTTTATGGCTACTTAGAGTCAGTCTAGAGGCCTCATACAGCAAGTGGCTTCAAGCCACTTACTAATAGTAATTATTTGGCTTGAAGGGGAGTGAGACATGATAGCTATTTTATTTTATTTTATTTTATTTTATTTTATTTTAAGATGGAGTATCGTATTGTCCCCCAGGCTGGAGTGCAGTGGCGCAATCTTGGCTCACTGCAACCTCTGCCTTCCTGGCTCAATCATTTCTCCTGATTCAGCCTCCTGAGTAGCTGGGATTACAGGCGCCTGCCACCATGCCCGGCTAATTTTTGTATTTTTAGTAGAGACAGGGTTTCACCATATTGGCCAGACTGGTCTCAAACTCCTGGCCTCAGGTGATCCATCCACCTCTGCCTCCCAAAGTGTTGGGATTACAGGCGTGAGCCACTGTATCTGGCTGCTATCACATTTTAAATGCCTCTCTGGGCCTGGTAATTTAAAGGGTCTCTCATTCTTCAGATAAAACAGGTTTTTTTTTTGTTGTTGTTTGTTTGTTTTGTCTTTCTCAAAATGTAAGAGCTGTGAAGAACTTTAAATGGTATTGTGTAGGGCAGGGCACTGGAGTCTTTAGAGTCAGGGTGATGGCAGAGCACACGTGTGAAGGTGGTGGCACAACCGTGATGGAGGCTGATTGAGTGCACCTGGTGCCAGGTGGGCACTCGGCACTTTCTTTTTTTGAGATGGAGCCTCGCTCTTGTCCCCCAGGCTGGAGTGCAATGGTGCAATCTCAGCTCACTGCAACCTCCGCCTCCTGGGTTGCAATGAGCGATTCTCCTGCCTTAGCTTCCTCCCCAGGAGCTGGGATTACAGGCATCCGCCACCATGCCTGGCTAATTTTTGTATTTTTAGTAGAGATGGGGTTTCACCACATTGGCCAGGCTGGTCTCAAAACCCTGATCTCAAGTGACCCCCCCACCTTGGCCTCCCAAAGTGCTGGGATTACAGGCGTGAGCCACCGGCCCTGCACTCAGCACTTTCATGGTGCATCTCACTTAGTCCTGGGACAACCCTTTGAGATCTAGGTGCAGTTGTTAGCTCTATTTTGCGGCCAAAGAAGCTTGGGCAGGCCGTGGCATGGGGATACTAGCCTGGTCTTCCTGACTTTAAGAGTCCGTCCTTTCAGTTGCGAAGGCAAGCCGACTTCCTGGACTGTATAGCAGTTACCGTTAACTGAGGACTTACGACTTGCCAGACGTTGTGTTTGCTGCTTTGCAAAGTTATCCCTAATCCTCAGGACAAAAGTGTAGAGTCAGTCTACACTTTTGTGTGTAGACTGAATACAAGGTATCCTCACTTTGCAGATGAGGAAACAGAGTCTCATTAAGGTTAAGTGACTTGCCTAAGGTCACAAATAGGAAGTGGTGGATCCACAGTTAAAATCTCTCCGACCTCAAAGCCGAGGCCTTTTCCTCAGCATCACATGCACGGTGTTCGGGCCAATAAGAAAACCTTCAGCTGGAGTGTGGAGCATGGTTTGTGTAGGCAGCTGGAAGTAGCTGTGGCTGGAAAGGTGGAGCGGCCTCAGGCTGCATAAACCTTGCCTCCAGGGTGGACACTCAGGGCCGATTTTTGTAAATGAAGGGTCCTGAGCAGTGACTTTGATTTGAGGGTGGGGTGGTATGGGATAGACACCTGAAGGCCAAGGGAATCCAAGCCAGCAGGAGCTCTGCCTGGATCTGTGCCTGGGGAAGCACAGAGCTTCACACAGCTACAAGGCCATCGGCGCATCCAGGCCTGCTGAGAAAGTGATGTTAGAGCAGATGTGTGGCTCACAGACATGAGCTCACCCCTGGCATCTCAGTAATGGCATCTCCTTGTGCCTGCTTGTTTTTCTAGGGTGTCAGGAGCAACTTTCCTCAGCCCCCTAGATCTCCCATGATATGGCTCATTTCATTTCATTTCATTTCAGTTCAGTTCAGTTCATTTTTTTTGAGACAGAGTCTCACTCTATCGCCCAGGCTGGAGTGCAGTGGCACGATCTTGGCTCACTGCAACCTCCACCTCCCAGGTTCAAGCAATTCTCCTGCCTCAGCCTCCCCAGCAGCTGGGATTACAGGTGCCTGCCACCACGCCTGGGTAATTTTTTTTTTTTTCGCTCTTGTTGCCCAGGCTGGAGTGCAATGGCACAATCTCGGCTCACTGCAACCTCTGCCTCCAGGTTCAGGCAATTCTCCTGCCTCAGCCTCCTGAGTAGCTGGGATTACAGGTGCCCGCCACCATGCCCAGCCCATTTTTTATATTTTTGATAGAGGGTTACACCATGTTGGCCAGGCTAGTCTCAAACTCCTGACCTCAGGTGATCCACCTGCCTTGGCCTCCCAAAGTGCTGGGATTACAGGTATGAGCCACCTCACCCAGCCCCGATACAGCTTTTTAAGGGCTGCTAGAAGACCCCCAGGATGGGGAGGTGGGGATTTGTCCAGGAGGAAGTACAAGCACACGGCCTGCACCCCCAGGCCCATCTCCAGGGCTCAGATGTGCTCAGAGGTCGGGGGATGTGAAGCCCCAGGAATGGTACAGGTGGAGATTTTGGCTCTTGGCCACAAGTGACCCCAGGGCGAGGTGGTCCCGTCTGAGCGGGGCTTGCCTCTGTGGGCGTGTAGACACTGCATGCCTCACCAGTGCCCTTCCCCACCCAGGTCATTGCTGTGGTCATGGACCTCTTCACTGATGGTGATATCTTTCAAGACATCGTGGATGTTGCCTGTAAGCGCCGGGTCCCAGTGTACATCATCCTGGACGAGGCGGGAGTGAAGTATTTCCTGGAGATGTGTCAGGACCTGCAGCTCACCGACTTCCGGATTCGGGTAAGTTGCACCACTGGGGCGGAAAGTGGTCAGGAGATGAGACAGGGACTACCTCTGCCCCTCCTGTGGCTCCCCCCTGCCTCTTCCCTGATGGGGGCTCAGGTAAACTTCAAGATCTCAACACCTTTCCTTCTGTTGAAAGTCAAGCCTTTAACCTTGGCTTTACTGTTAACTACTGAATCATATGCCCAGTTTCGATTTTATCCCTAGACTGCTGAGACTGAAGGAGGCAGCTCTGGCCTGGTCCTGGGGTGCTTAGCTTGCAGAATCACTGACTTCAAAGTGAGAGCTGCTGTTCTCTTCCTGGGCCTTTTGAGAACAGGCAGGAACCACCCTGGGCTTGTCCATGCCTAAAGCAAGATTTGGGGACTTCTTCCTGCTCACCAAAGAGGGTTCCCTATGGAAGGCTGTAGGAAGCAGAGCGTCTAGTGAAGACAGGAGCCTGCAGGCAGGGTCCATAGACAAGCGGGCTCTTCCTCTGCAGAAGCAAGGACCTGGCACAGAGCCCGGCCCAACCCAGGTGACGGTGCCTTCTACTCTTCCCAACAGAACATCCGTGTCCGCTCTGTGACAGGCGTTGGCTTCTATATGCCCATGGGGAGGATCAAGGGGACCCTGTCATCAAGGTTCCTGATGGTGGATGGTGACAAAGTGGCCACTGGATCTTACAGGTGAGCTGGGCCGGGTCAAAGAAGGGCCCAATCAAGAAGGAGGCCTTGATTCCAGGTAGGTGTTCAGGAAGATGCCAGACTGGAGCCTCCGTCATCATGAGTTGTAACTGATATCGTCTGACGCAATGGCAAAGGACAGCTTTCTGCCCAGTCCCTTCCCTCAAACTTCCTGGTTGATGGATTATTCTAGAAAGAGGGTCAACTCTTCCTAGGCATTATGCACTGCCTGCTTTTCATGGTCCATTTGCAGCCAGTTGCATTTTGAGGCTAGTTATTAGATAGGACAAGCAGGAAGTGGGATGCACCAGATCTGGAAAGAAACGGGAAGATGTGGTGTGCAGGGAATGTCGCCAGAATTTTTTTTTTTTTTTTGTGTGTGTGTGTGTGTGAGACGGAGTCTTGCTCTGTGGCCCAGGCTGAACTGCAGTGGTGTGATCTCGGCTCACAGCAACTTCTGCCTCCCGGATTCAAGCGATTCTCCCACCTCAGCCTCCCGAGTAGCTGGGATTACAGGCGCCTACCACCATGCCCAGCTAAATTTTGTATTTTTAGTAGAGACAGGGTTTCACCTGGCCAGGCTGGTCTCAAACTTCTGACCTTAAGTGATCCACCCACCTCAGCTTCCCAAAGTGCTGGGATTACAGATGTGAGCCACCACACCCGGCCTCAGAATTCTGATTTTAAAATAATTTACCAGGAACACGAGAGACTGTATCTGTGTAATATCTGCCCTGCAAGTAAATTAAAATATGGGTGATGAGAAGAGAGACCTGAGCACACGAAACTATGAATAGCAGCGTAAGTCCTGTCACATGGTCAGAGTATGGGTTTCTGCAGACACTAAGTGCTTAAAAAAATCAGAAAAGAACCAATACAGAGTAGAATAATATTCATAATAGTGGCAGCTGCAGTTACTATTTTTTAAATGTGTGTTTGTGCCAGGGACTGAGCTAAATGTTTTATATGAGTTACTTCATTTGCGCCTCACAACAACCCTGTGAACATATGTCCTGGGAGCCCCAGCTTACAAGGCACACGAGAATATAAACCAGGTTTGAATGCCGGCCTGACTTCCCATGCTCTTTCCCTGCACCTACTGCCTGCTTGCTTCATTTGAGGCCAAACTCTGGGGAAAGGGAGTCTGCGGGTGAGTGGAGGGAGGCCAGTCCAGAGTGTGGCCCACAAGGAGCCTTCCACCTGCGGCAAGGGTCTGGCCACAGCGGAGGGGCGGGGGGCGGGGGGGCAGGGGCAGGGGCAGGGCAAGAGGGAGGCCTGGGCACATGCGTCTTGCTTTTCTATCCCCACGTTCCCAGGTTCACCTGGAGTTCCTCCTACGTGGACAGGAACCTCCTCCTGCTCCTGACAGGGCAGAACGTGGAGCCCTTTGACACAGAGTTCCGGGAGCTGTACGCCATCTCCGAGGAGGTGGACTTGTACCGGCAGCTGGGCCTGGCGGGCAGGATTGGCCTCCACTACTCCTCCACTGTGGCTCGAAAGCTCATCAACCCCAAGTACGCCTTGGTGTCAGGCTGCCGCCACCCGCCTGGGGAGATGATGCGCTGGGCTGCCCGGCAACAGCGGGAGGCAGGCGGCAACCCGGAGGGGCAGGAGGATGGTGGCAGCGGTGGCGAGTCAGCCCGGCGCCTGGAAAGCTTCCTGAGAGACCTGGTTACGGTGGAGCAGGTGCTGCCCCCTGTGGAGCCCATCCCCTTGGGAGAGCTGAGCCGGAAGGATGGCAAGATGGTCTCTCACATGCACAGAGACCTAAAGCCCAAATCCCGAGAGGCACCCAGCCAAAATGGCATGGGAGAAGCAGCCCGGGGGGAGGCCGCCTCCGCCAGGCGCTTCAGCAGCAGGCTCTTCAGTCGCCGAGCCAAGAGGCCCACGGCGCCCAACGGCATGGCCAGCTCCGTCTCCACTGAGACTGTCCCTGAAGTGGAGTTTCTGACAGGGAAGAGGCCCAACGAGAATTCCAGTGCTGACATCTCAGGTGAGCCCTCTTCCCTCTGGCCTGGTGTCTCCACAGGCCTCTGGCCCTGGCCCCACATCGGCCCTTACCCAGGAGCACTGCCTCATACCTGCAGAGGAGCAGACTCCATCTGTGGGCACAGAGGGCAGGAGCTCTGGGGTTCCTGGGTCCTTGGTTCCCATTCTGGCCTCAGCCTTTAGCTGCCTGGAGGCCTTGGGCAGGTCCTGCAGCTCTGAGTTTCATTTTCCTCTTCTCTGAAAGAAGAGAAGGATTCCAGGCTTGGCATGGAGTGGTCTGAGGGCTTCTGCTACTACTGCTAGAAGGCGTTCAGATCAGCCCTCATGGTAACCCAACAAATCAAATAAGCTGAGAAACTTTCTCCTTTGTAAGAAAAGAAACGGGGGCTCCGCACGGTGGGGTGCATGGCTGCGACTAGACCCCGGTTCTGAGTTGAGGGCTCTTTCTAGCAAACCTGCTTCCTTGCCAGATCACCTATTGTCAGGATCTCACCTGGTCAGACATACCCCGCCCTCCCCTGTACCCTGCCAGTGCTCTGACCCACTTTCCTGTCTCTGTGATGGGCAGTCTGACTTGGTTTCTCCACGTCCCTCTGCTGAGTGCTATCTGCCCGGCTGCCTGTCCCTGGGTGGGATTGTTCCATGGCAGCATCTTCCTGGGCATCTCTCTGGGATCCCCAAAAGGCCCTGGCCTTTATGTGTCTCTCTGCAGCAGTCTCTGGGGTGGCCTTTCAGGTGGCTGGTGGTGGTGCCTTTCTCATTTCTGCATCCCTGAGTCAGAGGACTTTCCGTGGTGGGATTTCTCCGTCCATCACTGTGGAGCCTAGTGATGAGAGCTGGGCTCTGGCTGGCCAGGTGGGCAGTGACAGGGCCTGAGGTCTTGTGTGCCCAGTCCAAGGGCTCCCCGGACTCCTGCATTTCTGCACACCAGCTTTGACTGGATTGTGATGGCATGAGAGCAGGGAGCACAAGTGTCATCCCCTCTGCTGATTCCCCAGCACTGCTTTGGAGCCTGACACACCCAGTCTGTGCTCAGGAAATGTTGGCTAACTTTGCTTCTTGGAGTTCGAACAGGCCTGGGCGCCTCTGTGGCTGTGGGCACAGTGGGAGCGCCAGGGCGTTTCCTCTATTTGGCCTGGGGATGGTGACTGAGCTGCTGGCCTGCCAGGTCCTGCACAGGCGCTCTCTCTCCCCTTCTGCTCTCACAACCACCCTTCAAGCACAGAGGTGGCAGGTGGCTCGGAGAGGTGAATGAAGTGGTCCCAGGTCACAGGAAGTGGTAGTAAGGCCAGGATTCAAAACCAGGCCTGGGCACAGCCATGGTCTGTCAGGGGAGGGGTGGCTGGCCCCGTCACTGTTTCTCCTGGGCTCCCTGGCTCCCCTAACGCCAGCTGCTGCTGCTGCTGCTGCTCAGTACCTCTGGTTTGGAGGAAGGGTTGCCATGGTGAACACCTGGCAAGGGAGGGAGGGGGAAGAGGGGAAGGAGGGGGAAGCGGGAAGGAGGGGGCGAGCCCTACAGCAGCAAGGGCTGTTTCCCAAGTCCTGAGTGAAGTGAAGTGGAAGCTTTTTCTTCCTTCAGCCCCTCACCCTGAGGTGTGGTTTCCATGGAAACTCAAAGCCCATTGTCTTGTCCCTTCCCGATGCCTTCTGCGTGTCCCTCCGCATCCATGTCACTGCTCTCACCTCTCGGTTGGTCGCAGCGGCCCTGCCCCTGCTGCCGCTGTTTGGTGCCTGCACACGGTGCCCAGGAACCAGCCTTGCAGACACGGACGGGGCCCTCGGGAAGCTCCTCTCCAGGGCACCTGATGCTGGGATAGAGAGAGAGAGGGAGGAGTGAGGGCGAGGGCACGGACAGCCCGGAACCATCACCCCATTCCTCGTCCATCCTTTAGACAAACACAGAACAGCCTCCTCTGGCAAGTCCTCTGCCCACTTGGGTGGGCCCCCAGTACCTGCAGCCCTGAAATTCACACACCTTTCCTCTCCCTCCCAAGGCCTGGGGGAGAAGCAGCAGCTCCTCTCCTGTCTTTTGTTGTTTTTGTTTGTTTTTAAGACAACGTCTCGCTGGAGTGCAGTGGTGCAATCACAGCTCACTGCAACCTCAACTTCCCAGGTTCAAGCGATTCTCCCACCTCAGCCTCCTGAGTAGTTGGGACCACAGGTGTGTGCCACCAAGCCTGGCTAATTTTTTAAATTGTATAAACAGGGTCTCACCATGTTGCCCAGGCTGGTCTCCTGGCCTCAAGTGATCCTCCTACCTCCGGGCCTCCCAGAGCACTGGGATTACAGGCACAAGCCACTGTGCCTGGCCAGGAGCTCCTCTCCTATAAGGCCCTTTTTCATGGCCTCCAGCCTCCCACACCATGGCCAAGTGGGGCTGCTTCAGTGTTTCCCCTCAGGCAGCAGCAGCTAAGCAGCCAGGACTGCATATGTGAGAAGGTGGGGCCCTGAGAGCATGGGACTCCCACGGTGGGAATCAGTGAGAACCTGAGCTCCTGCCTTTGGACCCCCACACAGGGCAAGTGTCCCCTTCCCCTGGTAAACGTTCAGAACCTCCCAGAGCAGCTGCCACCTGGCTCTCAGCTCAGGACACATTGCTCGCTGTACCCAGGACACATCCGTCCCCTCCCTGGGGCTGTGTCCTCATCTAGAAGAGGACGGGTTGCACCAGGGAGGGTTTCCGAGGTCCCCTGTAGTTCAGATTCTGCCTCTGTTCTTTCTGTCTGTGTTGCCCTCTTGTCAAGGGAGAACCTGGGTTGATGACAGGTTCTGTCATAAGAGAAAAAATAGAAAAAGCTCAGAGCTGACAGCCTGTAAAATTGCTTGATAAGGAGTATATAGTTGTCAAACAGCATGCAAATTTTTGCAAACCCAGGTGTGGCCTTTGGGAGAACCTTAGGGAAGTTGCTTCCTCCTTTGGGGCTGGGGATCCAGCTGGGGGCCACGGGTGCCCAGCGGTTTCAAGGTTCACGGCGCCCTCTAGTGGCAGAAGCTAGGCACCTCTTCCTTCTGCGTCTTCCCTCCGCCCTCACCTGCTGGGAGTGCTCATGTCTTCTGGAGCTTCTGTGCCCTCCGTGAGCTCCACACAGGCTGCCTGGGTCAGGGACCCCCAACCTCACAGAGCAGCCTCAGTGGAGAGCCTTGATAAAAATGCAACGAGGCCAGGCGCGGTGGCTCATGCCTGTAATCCCAGTGCTTTGGGAGGCCAAGCTGGGAAGATCACTTGAGCCCAGAAGTTCTAGACCAGCCTGGTCAACATAGCAACACCCTGTCTCTTAAATACAATTGTTTTAAATTAACTGGGGGTAGTGCCATGTGCCTGTAGTCCCAGCTACTTGGGAGGTGGAGGCAGGAGGATCACTTGAACCTGGGAAGTCGAGGCTGCAGTCAGCTGTGATTGAGTCACTGCACTGCAGTCTGGATGACAGAGAGACCCTGTCTCAAAAAAAAGTAAAAGTAATATGAATTTTAAAATGCAACAAACACGCTTTGGGAGGCCAAGGCAGGTAGATCACCTGAGGTCAGGAGTTCGAGACCAGCCTGGCCAACATGGTGAAACCCTGTCTCTACTAAAAATACAAAAATTAGCCAGGCATGGTGGCACAAACCTGTAATCCCAGCTATTTGGGAGGCTGACACAGGAGAATCGCTTGAACCCAGGAGGCGGAGGCTACAGTGAGCTGAGATCGCGCCTCTGCACTCCAGCCTGGGTGACGGAGCAAGACTCCATCTCAAAATAATAATAATAAAATTTTTAAAGATAAAAATAAAATCCAACAAATAGAGTCTGTACCGCTGGGCGGGGCTTAGGACTCTGCATTTTAAATTAGGGCCCTCATTTTCCAGTGTAGCTCCCCCAGTGTAGAGGGTCCTCAGACCAGCAGACTCCGCAACGACTGAGGAGACACAGATGAGGCCCTGCCCTTGGAGTGCTGCCAGCCTAGGGGAGGAGGTCCCCGTGCTGTGCCTGAGACCCCACCCAGTTCCCCCAGGGAGATGACTGGGAAATGGCCAACACTTTTGAAGTGGCGAGAGACATGGTGCCATACGCCATCACACGGAGCTGGCGTCCTCCTCACTGCCATCCAGTCTGATGATAGCATCTCACAGTGAGACCCCCAAGGTTCGGAGAGGCCAGGCCCTGTGTCCATGGCTGCCCAGGGTGGAAAGGGCAGTGTGGTCTCCTGCCTCCTCGGCCTTCTGCAGATGTCATAGCCATCTCCAGAAGGCTCGGGTCGGCACCGTTTCCCTGCACCTTTAAAGACTGTTTGGGCCGGGCGCGGTGGCTCACGCCTGTAATCCCAGAACTTTTGGAGGCCGAGACGGGCAGATCACCAGGTCAGGAAATCGAGATCATCCTGGCTAACATGGTGAAATCCCGTCTCTACTAACAATACAAAAATTAGCCGGGCATGGTGGCACTTGCCTGTGGTCCCAGCTACTCGGGAGGCTGAAACAGGATAATCTCTTGAACCTGAGAGGCGGAGGTCGCAGTGAGCCGAGATCGCACCACTGCACCCCAGCCTGGGCGACAGAGCAAGACTCTGTCTCAAAACAAAAAAACAAAAAAAAGTGTTTGGAAGAGCCAGAGCCCCAAATAGAGGACCGACCCTTTCCCCTGGTGTCGTGGGGGTTGAGAGGAAGATGAGAGCAGCAACTTGCTTCCCAGAGTGCCTCAGATCCTTTCCTGCCCCAGAGCCCCTGGACCTGTGCTTTGCTTCCCAGTTTCTCTGAGGTGACCTGCAGTGACAGTCCCTTTCCGGAACTCTCCTGGGGTCCCTGGATTTATGTGTGGATGGCCCCCTGGCTGGCTGGCAGTCTGTAGAGCGTGGCTGCCAGGCTTCTGGACTGGGGGACTCGTTCTCCTGTGTCATCTCTTGGGGCTGCGGGTCTCAGATCTCTCTCCTGCTCTTGCTGCATCTGGTGCATCTGCTGCTGTTATTACTGTTATTACTAGGATTGCGCTAAACCCCTAAGTAGCTCGCCATTGCCGTCTCATGCATTTTATTCAATAAATATGTATCTACGAAGTGTCTGCTCTGTGCCAGGCCCTGCTGTGAGTTCCTGGCACAGCTGTGAACAGAATGAACATGGTTCCTGCTTTTATGGAGCATGTTACCCTGGGCAGAGACCAGGATTGTGAGGGGATGGCCATTCTATGAAGGGTGTCAGGGAAGGCCGCCCTAACCAAGGAGCCTCAGAACAAGACTTGAATGGAGGGAGGAGGGCCCTGTGGACATGGACATCCGAGCGAAGACTCTTCCCGATACAGGGAATGCGAAGCCCTGGAGCCTGTGCATGAAGCTTGCACGTCATTGTCCTTGTCATGGCTTCCGTGTGGGTGACCTCTGCCTCCCTCTTGCCCGCACCGCCTTACCTGGCAGCAAACCAGACTGACTGCAGGTCCCGAGTGTCCTAGGCTGCCACCCTCACCCCGTGCTTATGTCACACGGCTTCACTCTGCTGAGTGGCCCCTCCTCCCACCCTGCACCCATTTTCACCTCCACCTTGGTGTCACCTCTGAAGCTCCCAAGCCACACATACTTTGTAAAAAAGACTATTCTGGCCATTTATACACCTTCCCTGTTCACCTGAGCAGGGCTGACTCCCCACACGTGGTCAGCTCACAATACGTGAGCACTCAGGGAATGACAGGGGACACACAGTTTGTCCTCAAGCCAAGCCAGTTTCTCTGTCCTGTCCGGGGCTAGGAAATGAATTCTGAGTCTAGGTGCTCTCTCCAGGCTTTCACCCTGCCTTACAAAAAAGTGGGGAGCACGATGCTGGTGAAGACGGGCCCTGCCCCTGCCTTACCCAGGCTTCTCCTGGAGGCAGCCAGCTGGGCGGTGTGCAGGCTTGGGAAGCAGCTACCCCCTCCACCACCTGCCATTCCATGTCCAGCTATACCACCTCCCCTGTTTAACTATCCAGAGGTTGATTCGCTTACCTGCCTCCAAAATGCTGCTGCCTCTGGGGAGGAACTGACATCTGCTTAGTGGGCCACGCAAATGAAACCAGCTAAGGAGGAGAAGTGGGGATGGTTGTATCCGTTGCAGCAGCGAGTGAGTCTAGGACGGCCGCATTTCATCCCGCTAGCAGAGCCACCCAGACGCGCTCGGCATCACCGCGGAAGGTGACCCCCAGCGCCTTGGCCATGGAGCTCTTTGGGTACAACCTCCTGCCCAAGGGTGGGGGAACACCCTTAATGAGGGTGCAGCTGGATTTGTGGTCAGTCCCGAAGAGCTCGTTCAGTCTGCCTGGATGGATGAGGCCCGAGGCCGTGGGTCACAGTGCAGTGGGCAGGAGCAGCAGCCTGTGTGGCAGGGGAGGGCTCCAAGTTGGACTCTATTCGGTGGGTCGTGCTCATGGCCCAGGAAAGGAGGCAGACATGGCCTTAATTAAATTCACAGCTGAAGTGATACTGGAAGGTTGTGTGAGCACCAGGGAGGCAGCCCTTGCTGTGTGGGGGGAACTGGCAGGAAATAACACGAGTGCCTTCCACCTGGGGAAAGGCAGCCAGCGCTCTGCGGACACAGGCTCCCCGCTTCAACGCCCGACGCCTCGCAGGCCCACAGGTGTCAGGCCTGCCTTGCTACTCCCCCACACTCCCTCCAGAGGTCCGAGAGCAGGAATCCAGCCAAAGGAACCGCAGGCCTCATCTCAGGACTGTAAAGGGAGTGGGAAGGAATGGTAGACGCCTGGGGAAGAGAAATCAGCTTCTCTGGCTGGAAGGGGGGCAACTTTCTCTCCCCCTTCCCTCCCTACAGGCAGCGCGTTCCTCTCCATCCTCCCCTCAAAGCCGCGCCCTAAGCAGTGTGATCCACCCCATGTGGCAGCTCTTGGCCAGCGCCAGCCCTTCCTGAGGCGCCAGCTCTCCTTCTTGCAGCCTAGGAGGACTGTGGCAGGAGGAGCTGGAACTGGGCTGGGAAGGCCAGGTTCCGTCGCTGTTGCTGGCTGGCTCTGGGAGCTGTGGACACCTCAGCGGTGGAATGGGGCAGCCGGGGAGGGGAACCGGAGAGAAGGACCACAGTCTTACTTTGCAGGCTGTGGAGCTGCCATGTATTAGCTGGTAGTGAGCGGCCTCTTGGCGAGACTTTTGTGTATGTGTGTGTGAAGGCAAGTTTATTAGAAAAGTAAAGAAAACAAAGAATGGCTCGTCCTTACACACAGCAGCCAAGACTTGGAGTTGATGGCTGTCATCATTGATTCTGTGGACTGGATCCTTCCCCCACCCCTCCTTGGTCAGGAGATGGTGGTCACCTTGATGTCCCACCCAGTGGGGCTCCTGCCGAGGCTGCTGGGACAGGCAGAATCTTCCCTTCTGCTTTCCCAGGTGCCCTCTACTGATTTGCTTTCCAAATCAGCAGCTTGGGAAGGAGACAGTGACCCCAGCCCCTCAACTGGAGATGTAGACAGTACACAGGGTAGGGACTGAAGCTGAATCCACCAAGTTTCACTTACATCCTTCCCCACCTCTGTCCTTTGCCTCTGCAGGTAAAACAAGTCACAGTTCTGCCAAGCCCAGCAACTGCGTGATTTCCTGAGCTGCAGGATGGTGGTGGGCAGGACGTGTGGATGTTCGCCTGCCCTGCCCTGTGTTGTGGAGAGCTCAGGTCGCACACTGCACCAGTTTGCACATCAGACTCCAACTGGCCTCCTGCCTTGCAGCCTCTGTCCTGGTCTCAGGGACCCTGGATCCCAAATGAGAGGGTCCGAAGCATCTCAGTTACACGCCTCCACCAGACTGTCGGTGGCTGGGCAGGGGTCAGTGCCACGGCCTCCTTGTTTACATGAAGTGGAAGCTTGACCAGTGTCTGCTCGCCTTTGTGCCCCACCCCCTCCGCTGGTCGCCAGATGGGGTGAGGGCCATTCTTTAAACCTTAATGGGATGGGGTATCTGGGGCAGCCGCAGTGGCTTCTCCTTTCCCAGGCTTCCTGGTGCTTCTGGTTCCCCCCACTGCTCCCCACCCAAGAGATTGGTGGAATAAAAGGGAAGAGGGCGGAACCCTGAGCCTGGGATCCTAAGTTCCAGTCTTGCTCTAGCCGCCGACCTCCAGGTGTAAGGTGCAGCCGGAACTGCAGGGGCACTGGCTGCAGGGATCTTCCTGGCCCCGGCCCTGCAGGCTCCTGAACTAGACTTGAATGAGGGGAAGATCCCACGGCCTCCCCCAGCGAGGGGCAGAATTTGATGCTGCTGTTCTGAGAGCACTCATACTGAGGTCTCTTTCCCTGCCGGTGCCGTCCTGGCAGTCTCAGCATGAGTGGTCCCGGCCTCCTCGGCTGCTGCCTGCTGCAGACCTATGTGGGGGTCTTTACAGTGCCTTTACCTGGGACTGTTCCTTCCCTCAGTCAGTAAACTTAGGTTTACAGCCAAGGCAGGGAGGGGCTTGGCTGAGAGGGGATTGGGGGTATGGGAGGCTGGGCCCTGAGGACAGGAGCATTTGCCTTTTTTCCCCCAACTCTAACGGGGTCCTCGGACCCCTTCACCAACCAGGGCTTCCAGGTTACACTTCGGCCAAAGACAGGCCTTTGCCTTCTTCGAGAGTCAGGCCATGTTTAGGAGCCTGTGCCTCGCCAGAGCAGGTCAGCCTAATTGCCATGAGGCTGGGCCGGGAGACCCAGTAAGCAATTCCACTCTGCCCTCCCCACTTGGGTGACTGGAGAGGGCCGAGGAGAGTTTGTGAATGGACCTGGGAGAAATTGCCAAACTGCAGACTCTGTGAGCCGGCCCTGCGGGCAGGGCGATGGGGGATCTGAGTCCTGTGAAAGAGCCATGCGGCAGTGACCTCTGAACCAAACTCTCATCCTCTTTCTTTCCGTCTAAAAAACCCTAGGACACTACCAGCACCTGGGGGAGAGGTACAGATGTCTGCAAGGCAGCTGATGTGAGAGCCAGAAAAGGGGCTGCTCTGGCTGGGCTGCAGGAGCCAGGCACTGCTTCTGAGGAAGCAGGAAGTAGGGACCACATGTGGCGGCCATTGAGGAGACCGATCTCTCTGGCAGTGGGGAGGGGAAGGGAAAAGAAGGGTGAGCCTGTCCCCAGGGTCTTCTCTGTTAATCCCAAGGCTGGCTTCTAGGGCGTGTGGAGAAGGGGCTCTGGCCCACCTCCCTGAGCTTTTATGAAGATGAAATGCTTCTGGGAAGTGCTTCCTTAGGTACCAAGGCCAGGCAGTGTGGCACGAACTCATTCTGGAGGGGAGGGAAGGGAGGTGGGAGGTGGGGTGTGGGGGTGTTACACCTCAGCTCGAGGGGGACACCTTGAAGGTATGGGACATGAAATGTGTAAACTGCAATGGGACAAAGAGATCACTCTCTGGTGTGGAGGGTGGGTGCCTCTGGGGATGAGGAAGGTGGCCTGGGGAAGGGACCGGCCTCCAAGCAAGTTAGCCAAGGGCATCTGTGCCTCCCTTACCAGAAGAGCAGGCCCTGCTTTGTCCCTTTACCCCCTCTAGACCCAAAGCACAACCAGGTCCCTCCCCTGCCCTGACATCTAATCTGCAAGGATCCCTGATTGGAATCTCCAAGTCACTGCAGCCTTAAGCCAGGCCTTCCTTTCTGCCTCAGTTTCTCCATGTGCCAAGATGGGGTTTTTCACACTTTCTTGGTAGAAATGATGGGGAGACCATACATTAGAGAGGAAACAAGTTGGCATAGTGGGAAGAGGGCCAGCCACAAGGCAGGAGTGCCCAGGCAGGGTGCCTCTCCCTGCTGGCCCATGTCCTCATCCTTATAGCAGTGTGGACAAGATGGTGTCTGGCCCCACCCGCTTCAAAAGGCTTGAGACAGAAACTGTAGTCTGAGATGGCAAGGATCTTGAACTCACAAAATGCAGCTCTTCATGTTTGCCTGTCTGCCTAGGCACCGGCCCACTCTGTTCTGCCTCTTGGCTTGTCAGCTGTGAGTACGCCTGCCCTCTGTTCCAGCACTTGCACGTACTTTGTGAAGTAGTCTCTTACTCATCAAATCTCAAGGGGACATCTGGCCCTCCCAGTTGGATGGCAAGTTCAAGGGTGGATCATGCCCTTGGTCCCTGCACAGCAGATTCCGCAAGGCTGGTTACATTGGAAGGGCTCTAGGAGGAACAGGATAAAGCAGCACTCTCTGCGCTGGGGTCTGGCTTCACTGCCCACCACTGCACACCACCACCAAGCTGCTGTCTCACTTTCTGAGTCAGCTTCTGTAGGGTAAGTGTTCACAGCTGGTGCAGCTCTTTGGGAAGCCTCACCTCCCAGTGAGCTGAGCCCCTGGTGTGGCTGCCACACTTGCTTCTGCCCCATAAGGGCAGGAAGCACAGGACTCCTGGATGAGTCTGGGAGCCTGCCTCTTGTGATTTGGCAAAACCTCCCATCTCCTCAGCTACCTGTCCTTAGGGTATGGTTAATGCTATCTCTAATCCCTCGAGGGCTTTCAAGATAGCCTCTGTTAACATCACTACGATCTGTCTGGGTAGAACTTTATAGAAAGGCTAGGCAAAAAATGAGACCCAGAGATACGGAAGAAACTGGCCAAAGAGGGGAAGTGGGCTATTTCTTTTTTTTAAACTGCTGTATTGCTTTTCTCTTTTTCATATTTGTTGAGCACTTGCTATATGCCAGTCACCGTGCTGGATGCTTTAGTAACATGAAGGTTTCAAACTAAGAAAAGCTGAAGAAAGAGCCCTTTAGAAAGTTAGCAGTTTACCGTGTATTGGGGGAGTGGGCCTCATAAAGTTGTATGATGAGAGGCACAGGTAATTTTGTTTTGTTTTGTTTTGAGACAGTGTCTTGCTCTGTCGATCACGCTGGAGTGCGGTGGCGCCATCTCGGCTCACTGCAACCTCCACCTCCCGGGTTCAAGTGATTCTCCGGCCTCAGCCTGCCGAGTAGCTGAGCTTACAGGCATGCACCAGCACGCCTGGCTAATTTTTGTATTTTTAGTAGAGACAGGGTTTCACTATGTTGGTCAGGCTGATCTCGAACTCCCGGCCTCAGGTGATCTGCCTGCCTCGGCCTCCCAAACTGCTGGGATTATAGGCATGAGCCACCACACCCAGCGTGGCTAAGGTTCATTATCCCCATCTTTCAGATAAGGAGGTACACAGCTCTCCCCAGATCCTACATCACAGAGAATGCAGGTCTGAGCCTGTTCCTTGAGCTCAGGGTCTCGGCAGTGGTGATGCTTTGGAGCCGCAGAATTCTCTGTTGGTTACGGGGCTGCCCTGTGCATTATAGTACATTTAGCAACATCCCTGGCTTCCACCTACTAAATGCCACTAGCACCCCTTCAGATGAGACCACCAAAAATGTCTCCAGATGTTACCACATGTCCCCTGGGGAGGGGGGTAAAAGTGCTCCCATTGAGAGCACTGGCTCTTTTCTTTGTGGTCCTGGCCTGGCGGCCTGCACAGGCCGTTTCTCTGAAGTGTTTCATGCACACTCTGCCCTGGGTACCTTGGATACAGCACTCTGGCCCAGAGAGGTTGGCTGACTTGCCTGAGACGCCGCTTCATGGGAGACGCAGTAGCATCTTTCCTTTCTGTTCTGGTTATCTTGCTTAGTTCTTTACCACCTTATATTCCTCTTGACGGGTGTCTTTATGTACACACATCTGCCTCACTCCACTCAGCTCCCTGTCAGGTTTCCTGCCAGTCTGTCCCTCTTCCTTCAGGCTCAGCTACTTCCTGCACAGACACTACGACTGCACATACCTGAGTGTGCCCAGCGGTGGACCCACCTCCAAAAGTAGCCAGTGCTGACAGCAGAGAGCCTTCCACACTCAAGTCAGGCCAAGTGGGAATCGCTACCTGACTGTCATGACCACATTCTCAGTGAACATTGACAAAGCCCCCTTCGCAGCTAATTAGCCCTGCCGTGCACTAGGGATGCAATTTCTCATCTGGCGGTGCGCCACACTCCTGCCTCCCTGCCCGAAGGACCCAGTGGCTGCTGCTGATCATCTGCACTGCTGTTCCAGGGGCAGGAGGTTTGCTGCAGAACAGGTGACCCCAGCTCAGTGAGCGGAGCCAGCCCAAGGTTGAGTGAGGAGAAGGGCAAGAAGGGCAGGCACAGCCATGAGGATGTTCTGGGGCTAAGTAACCAGGAGATCAGCCCAGAGACCTTGCACAGTTAGGCAGGCCTGGACTTCTCGCCCTTCCCCTTGCAGCTTCTGCCCTCCCAGCCAGGGACTGAGGAAAGCCCTGCTTCTAGATGCCATGTGCTGCTACCTGGCACGATAGGTACCCATCTGTCCTTGGGGTTCCTGAGCCTGGAGAGCGTGCTCTATAAGCACTGGTGCCTCACTGCCTGGCTCAGCTTTGCAACTATGATATATGCTTAATACCTATTTGTTAAAGAATTGAAGACTGCCATTCAGTACAGAGAATGAGCCAGGCAAATAAACAGGAGGTGTCATACAGGTTCTAGAATCGGTCATAATCCTTTCGGTCTCATTCCTGACTTCTAACACCATATATGCCAAATGGGGTACTGCTGTGATTTAATTTCTCAAGGACTGGGTTTATCAAAAGTCCTTCCAGATCTAATCCTTTCCTCTAGGAAGGCTTCTCCTTTCCTCCTGTGTCTTAAGTGCCTGGTCTTCATCTCCTGGGTGGTCCAGACTAGGTGGCACTGGGCCTGCAGGCCTCTGGCTGCTCAAGGATAGCCCTCTCTGTGTGCTTCCTTTCAAAAGCTAGCATAGAAAGGAGGACACAAGGTGAGGAAATTTGTCCAAAGTCACCCACTGAGTCGCAGGAAGGGCTAGAGTCTGGTTATCTGGACTGTCCTAGAGCACTTTCGCAGTGACAGCCAGCTGGAAACAAGTTTTCATCTAGAAAAAATGGCTAGAAGTTAGGGCATTGGCTGCAGTCACTGAAAAGCAGCTTTAGGAGCAGATGTCCACGTACTAGAAGGGCTAGGGCCTGCCATGGAAGCCAGCAAGCATATGGGAGCTGGGGAAGGAAAGGAGCAAAAGGCAAGAACAGGTAGGATGTCCGCGGTGCCCACAGTGCTGTGGGCACAAGCAAGGCGGAAAGAGCCCATCGTGTGCAGAAAACCATGCGTCATGATTCTTATTTTCTGTTGGCAGCTTTGACTCCCTGCCTCATCTCTTCCTGGAAGTGTCTTGGAAGTTAGGCCACTGGACAGGGAAAGGTTCGCCGCAGTGCTTGCAGGCCTGCACCCATTTATTCATCCAGTGGATATTTACTGGGTGCCCAGCCTGGGGCTACATGGTGACCGAGGAAGGCATGGTTTTGAGGTGGTGTGCCTGCCTGCCGCTTGCTGTGACCTTGGCCAGGGCGCATGGCAGAGAGAGGACAGGCTTCAGAACAGGCAGGCAAGGGCTGAAATCCTGTCTCTGCCACTGAATAGCTAATGACCTCAGCAAGCTATTTCACATCCCTGAACTCTCCTGTTTCCTCATGTGTCAAATGTGGATGATCTCGAGACAACTCTCCACAGTAACCACGCGAAGCACCCAGCACAGGGGCTGACACACACAGCTAGGTGTCGCAGGAGCCTCTGGGGGTGTCACCTCCAGTGGCTTATTTTCCTCTTGTGATCTTCTCTCCTAGATCCTCCCCATGGGTTCCCTGTGAAAATTACCACTTTCATATTGAATCGTTGCCACACAGGGCTAACTGCTCGTTCACCTGAAGGAAGCTACAGAGCTCAAGTTTCTTTTTTTCTTTTTTTTTTTCCTTTCCTTTTTTAAGATGGTCTCGCTCTGTCACCCAGACTGGAGTGCAGTGGCGTAATCATGGCTTCCTGCAGCCTCGAACTCCTGGGCTCAATGAGTCCCTTGAGATATTCTATCCT